CAATAAAACTTGTATATTATTGTGTTTCTGAAGGAACCCGAAATCGTTTTTTTCATAGCCTTTATTACGCATAAGCTATTTGTGAATAATAATAAAACCATATAATGATGTATGGTGGTTAATCAATGAACAGGCTCACAGTTTACGGATCGGTGTACCAGATCACGTCCAGCTCAACACAAGTGATCACGTGGGTACTCGGAGTTTCAGTTGTGCCAGCACAAGCAAATCAGAACTCAGAAATGAAGTGATTCGAAGGTACATCTGTTAAGTTTTTGATATGTCGAGAAGCGTTTGGTTTAACCCGGCCAACAGATGCAAGAAATGTGTAGCACGGCATACCTGCTCGTTATCGGTTAGGATGCGTGACCAAGTGCATTCAGCTTGGTGTGTCCAGTAGAACCAATGAGGTCAGTATCAAATGTGGAAGACTTACAGAACTATGTATTTCAAGGATTTATTTACCGCCATAAAAATTGTTCAACTACTCCAGTATAAAACTGTTGACTATAAGGCTATGAGCATTATCATTTGGATCAAAACTTTGAAACACAACCAATATTAACAAGCTGAACGCTAAAATCCCGTTTGAAGTCCTCGTTCGCCAGAAAATTGACGTAAACTCCGTAGCTAATGAGGATCCTGAATAGTTCATATTATTTCTTGTAGACATGTAGTCACCATGTATACAAGACAGTCATAATTAAATGATTACTCACAATGGAAAACAACTCTCAATTATTTGATCTGCGAAATCAAAATTCAGTGTTGCATGTCTGAGATATGGCTGAGGAAATGATCATGTCTTTGTTGCTGAACTATCCGTGGTAATACCGGATCCTATTAAATCACATAAAGAAACCGCTTACAAAGATGCAACGAAGCAAACAATAAATATAATACTAAGGATGATGAAAGATGAGTTTATTGTCAATAGTGATCCCTGTGAACATCTTGAACCATCTAGTTCCTCTACACTAAAAGTATACGGACTCCCAAAATTTCATAAAAAATTGTGTACCTACATCATTTACTAAATATGAATAACTTCCTATATTATTCGGTTGCTAAATGGTTATCCGAAACTTTATAGCGCATAAATAGATAAAACCCCCGTGATTCACTTGATTTTATTGACTCAGTCAGAAAAATCAATGTAAATTGTCAAAAAATGATCTCACTGGATGCCATTTCTGTCTTTATAAGTATTCTCTTAACGAAGCCACATAACATGCTGTGCCTATATCAAAAATTACGACTTTGTATCCGTATCCCAAAACATTATTCAAAAGAGATGCTTCTATGTGAAACATATAGGATTGTGTGAGGTATGACATATATCCAAAAATAAGCTTAAATGAGCCAAACATCACATAAGGAGGGAGGGTGGAGTTACTGACCAGCAAGGTTTGATAGTGAGGGTGATGACTTCAATCCATCCACGTTTGTAGGGCGGAACATTTTGTTTGTATCAGGATCTTCATAATTGAGAATAAGTCAATCAATCTGTGATATAGATTGTCTTCCTACGCTCACCATTCAGACTCATGTTTCCAATTTTACGCTGAATTAGCTATTCTACTAAGACAACCTATAGCATGCCAACCCAGACGTTTACACTAGCATTGTGTGGATGCATGGGATGGACAAACAAAGAAAAGAAATAAAAAAATAGACAATAAAAGACATAGTCTTTGGGATTCTAAACATTTCACTAACTATAAGCACACGCTCTTATAAAAAACCGCTTTCTTTGTAACAAACTTGCCTAACCATGCTTTATGAGAGCTTAATACAACTTGTTAAACATCACAATAAAATGAACTTTATTACGGCATTCTTCGATATGGAACCACTGACATCGTTTCACTTTATAAAAAGATAATAAAAACATAAACAAATTCATTATGAATGTATTAGTTCTACTACAAAATGTTAAGCAACGTTTGGCGTTCATATCAAAGTGCCCTGCTGCTCTTCTGTTTCTCTTTATTCTTTCCTCAGAATATTGCTCTGAGGGCATAGCTATGGAAATTCTGACGGAACAGTAGAATGTAAAACAGTCTGTTTAATACAGTAGTACTTAATAGCCTGTTAACACATCGTTCCAAATAGTCTTCCTTCAAAATATTACACTATATCGAAGGAGCTGAATTGACGGGAGGCCGATTGAAAATTTTTCGCGATAGTGAGTCGTTGATGATACACCAGTTCTACCCCAACTCTGCATATAAAAACGGTACATCCAACCTCTCATTTTTCATTGTAACTCATCGCTTTATATAGTATGCTTCCATCTCTTTTCTTTTTATTATTGTTTTGTAATTTTAGACTGTAATCGGTTTTTAATGTCCCTTAACAATTTTTAGTGATTGTTATTCAGTAATTATTATAACCTTTAAGTTTTTCATTTCTCTTCATATCCGTCAGTTAGATAGTTATCTTCCATGATTCTGACTTGTAATCTATTTTCTTTCCTTTTTTCTTCTCTAAATTGTTGACTATTGAAATGTTGGGCCACTTTATGATGAAACCTCTTCTATCTTTCTACAACCTATATTTACCATATGACTATAAATACAAATGCGGAGCCTAAATAAATGATTCCGTCGAAAATGAACGTTTCTGTTTTTTTCAATAACCTTATGGTTACCAAATTTTGTAAAGTGCAAAATTAGGAATGAGATAATTCTTGGTAGGAAAACATTTCTTTTGAATATATAGATGCATGGTTGTGTGTAAATCATCAGAGAATTCTAGAATTCTTAAATTTATTAGACGGAACGTTACTGTTGAGTGAGTACTTGTATAAGTAAGGCAAGGAGAACTGAGATCCGAATATTTGTTCTACCTTTTAGTGTAGTCATGTGAATATGTCGAAATCCGTCAAGAGTCCTTGTTTAGGCAACTGAGCAATATTTGCTACTTGTGTCTACAGTGAACTGGGAAGTGCAGCCAAAGTATGTCATATGTTCACTCTACGATATACCTCCACTAAATCCACTCGCAAAACCTCTCATCGCATTAAAGATGAAGTGATCTGTTTTTCTTGAAACATTATCCGACGAACTCATTAATATTTCAAGCCGAATTTCTTTTAAATGTGATTGGTGTCACTCAAATGTGTCTTTTGGCTGAATACATGACTTCATCAGAGCCAGGAGTAATGCTGGCAAACCGCATGACACACAAATTTTGCGATTCAGTCCGGAACAAAAGCATGGGACAGATAGAAGCAATTTGCAGAGGAGGCAAACCACAGAGGCTTTTTAGCTGAGTAACTAGTGCAACATCAAAATACCACAGGGGAAGAAATATTCAGACTGATCTCGTAGAAGCCAAATGAGACAATTTAAATCCATCTGTGATGCAGAAAAATGCATCCGCTACGTGGTTTGTTTTCTCGAAACTTGTCAAAATATGTTCATAGGTCGAATACATGTATATAGATATATCTGTACATTGACCAGCAACATTTTATAGCTCGCCCAGCTTTAAGATAACATCATGAAAAAGAGTTCTGAATCTTCAAAGAAGATATATATCATAACACATTAGTTACCTTACGCCCTTTTTAAGTGAACTGTTTTAGGAATCTTTAAGTGGTAAGGATGTGGTTCTTAAGAAGAGTCATTATTCTCGAAACGTAACGCGGTTATCGAATTCTCAGGATGCAAGTTTCTCAAGGGGCTACATTCAAAGATTAAACGTATTTAAAATAATATAGTGTTATTAAAGGTAGGTGAAACTAAATGAGTACGAATGAAAGTAATATATACGGAATTCGTATTCAGGGCTAAATCACGTGCAAAGGAATCACAAGTTACTACAAATACTACACCACCTGGGTGCCATAAAATTATCATGCCCTTCTGGCACAAATAAATTATCTACCAACGGTCTCTAGATCTTACGGTCCTGAAAGTCATCTAAGTCCGTAATTAAATAATTTTCAGAAGACGTGGACAATCTTGGGGTTGCTCAAGAAGTAGAAGAAATTTTTTATGACATTGCTAGACGTCAAATCATGACGGTCCATGTACTTATATATTTATATCCCTCACAACACAGCTAAAATGTAAATAGGGAGAACGACATCGCCATCGCCAGCAGTTAATTTAAACAACTTAGCTGTTGTGTGGTAAAGAAGTACGTCTGCTCCAAAAGTTCGCAACATTCATTTGCCTGTTTAACAAATATTAGGTGGTTGAAGACGGGGTAGGAAACCCATACCTTGGTTTCTTTTCATTAGATGATACCGGATATTATTTTTATCTCTTTCCCAAGAGCACTGATATTTTGTGTTGAATTCCGACCTTTATTACTTGTAATCACATTCAATGATGTAAACAATGAGATACTCAGGCTGGTTGACCTCTACAGGACCAAGATATTTTCTCTGTTAATTGGGCAGCAATCAGTATAATATTTGTCTTGAAAATGCCACAGGTATTCAAAGTTTGACAACACTTTAACCAGTAACACCTAATATGAATCGTACCCACTAAGTGAAATCACAAGATAGAAGCGATAAGGTTCGAAGATATATTTAATAGGTTATCAATATATTGAGGATCGACTGATTTAATCTGGCTAGCGATTCCAGGGGTTGTTGAGCACGGCATTCCCACACGTGATCTGGTGCGGATGCATGACCGAGCGCCTTCAACTAGGTGAGTCCATCCAATGCCGAGAACTTAGCTAATTATTTTGGGGATTTATTTACCTCTAGAGTCTGTTCATTGTTGCTGATTGGGTTCTCTCTATCAGATTCCCTTACGATTTAGAACAGTCAGTCCTTTTGATAAGTACGGATAATGCAATCAGATGACGAAGACCGGCAGAAATACGTTATGTATTAGCGCTATACATTTATAAATTCTAACTAAAAATATACTTGTAAATACATTTGTGTATGAAAAACGAAAGTTTAGACAGACAAAATAGGAGAAAAGAAGAAACAAAAATATTTAAGGCAATTGTATGAAACTGGCACTCATGGTTAAGGTCGACAACGTTATGGCGCAATTTTCAACTGATAACTGCTTGTAATCTTGTGAGTATTTCAGTTACTTTGTATGTTTGGCTTAGGTCTAATCTAACAACTCTGACTACCTTTTTGTTATAAGAACCCCAAAATATCAGTATTTAAGTGATATAAAGAGCGTATAATGCTCATTATCAGACTTCGAGCTCTGGAAATGCTGGTGATTACTAACCTTGTACTACCGTTTGCTATATATATTCAGTGATCTTTTTGTCGCTTAGTCGTCCGAGTTACTCGTCCCAATATCTGTTGGTATATAATGCTGATATTACCAAAATCTAGCCGATTTTTGAAGTTGGGTTAGCGCTTGAATCTTCGAGCACTATCTAATGATAAAACTACTTACTGGCAGACAGGAACTGTTTAATTATCTCTCGCCAAAAGTTACTGGTGGCCCTAAAGACAATTCAATACGAGTACAAATTTTAAAGTACAGTCATTGTCAACCAATTTCTTGAAATACATTTTGAGTATAATAGTTAACGGATACAAAACGAAATAATGCAAGTATAAAACTTAAGAAACCACTTGTACAATCTGGAACTCAATTAGTAAACGTTCATTTCACGTATTTTCCCACACGAACAACAACATATTCACTTTCATCCCCTTTATTTTACTAACTAGAATAACCTGGGATGTTTGAGGCATGTTGCGAACTTATGACTTATTGCGACTAGCATTATACTACGTGTCGTTTTTAATGTTCCTCTGAACTGTATGCCTGTTATTTTGCTTTAGAAGCAATGCAAGCACTAATAATATGCAACGCAGAATCTCCTGAGCTGGAGCAATTAACTATACAAGGTTCTGCTTCTTTACTCCCTCTGGGAAACGAGACTGTCCTCAGCAGACTGATGAGTATTTTTATTCTAAGTGAAATATCTGACGTAACAATAATCCACAACAAAGCACAAACAATACGTCTAACGAATTATTTAAATGAAAATCGTCAACTTTGGCCTGGTTATATGAAAATTAACCTTCGCGAACTTCCTAACTTCTACTCTTTATCTGAAACGCTACAGAGAATCCGCTCTTCAGTAACATCCAACTATCTGTTTATAACTTATTCCAATACCGTTATCAATGAAATCGATTTACGGGATATATTTCTGACAATGATCAGGAAAAAGGCTTCAGTGGTGACCGTATTTTCAACTCTCCCTACGACAGAAAGCAAACTTCTCAAGTCTATTCCCAGCGAATTAACCGTAACTACAAATGATGGCAGTACCTTAATTAGCTATGTGCCCGCATGTGATATAAAAAAGCAGTCTAAACTTCCTAAAACTCTTAGCTCTCAACAGACTATCTTATGTCGTTCAGATCTTAGAGATTGCGGATTGTATTTGGTTTCCAGGACAGCTTTGGATCATATTGCCAAGGTAAACTGAGACTACCATTTTTTATTGTATTTCCAAGCTAGGGGAAGATATAACTCACCGTAAAAAGTCTATTTGGCAATATATTTGGTCCGAACCTCCGGAGATAAATCAAGGTAAACTTAGCATTACAATTGTTCGATAAACACTAGAAACTAACGGAGAGCCTGATGAAAAATTCGTAATTAACAACATAAAGAATTACCTTGAATGCTATCAAACAGGTGGAACTTGCATTCATGAACATCATGACAAAATCATTTCAGTCAAATTTGAGGATCCGTTGATATATGCTGAAACAAATCGCTTGGTTAGTAACCATACATTTTTAAAAAGATTCATTTTTAGTTCTTCCTACCAGTATCTATGTTTGTAAATATGTTCAATAAAACGCTTGGCTAAATACTGAGCTGGCGATAATAGAGGATTGATTGAACCGTTGTAAACTCGAAATCTTACAACCAAGCAGGTATCACGATGGTGCCAAATTTGACCTGGATTGGGATTAGTCTCTGTTTCCCCCTATACTTTGCTTGATTTCATCTCCCACTCCACAAATATCACACACTACTACCCAGATACACAGACCTTTCAACTATTCCTAACGGTTCACCATATAGGACGGGTGCAGATACAGATGTCTAGTTGTCTTGTATCGTTTTTGTCTTCATAGGTCGATAGTAATTGCCGTATTTATGGACACCAGTTATCAGTTTATTGTGTTTTGGATAGCACGTGTATCGTCACACAGTAAAACTGTTACACGCGCACTGAAGGTCGATTACTAACAGGCCGAACGGCTCCATATCATGTAGTGAGTTAAATTCGCGTTTCTATTCCGTAGTTCAATTTGTCATAATTCTGAAACGACAAGTTACATTAATTGGGTATGAACGTTTGATAAATGCCATGCTACTAGTTGATCTTCAAAGAAGGTCTTGGTAGATGAGACAAATGTGACCTTATCGGAGACCTAGAAGAACAGTCAGTCAGGCAAACGCAACGTACAACTCAGTACGTATGTTCCATCGGTTCAAGTTGCCATGGGACCATTACCTGCGTTGTGTATAGAAATGAACGGAGAAACATTTCTGTAAAGTGTTGAGAACTTTTGAGGGTTGAAATAAAGGAACTGGTAGAAAACTTCTTTGTCAGTGAAGAAATCGGTTGTCCATTACTTTAGATGAACTAACATGTATGTATAACCATATACCTATACCACCAACATTACGTAAAAGCATTTTCGGGTAATTTACACATGGGACATGTAAGATTTAAAAAAAACGAAACGCCTGACTCATTTTTTAGTGTCTAAGCTGAGTGGGAACATATGTTAACTAGCTGCCAAATATCCAAGTTATGTTGGTGAATTTAAAATAAGCCTACCTCAGGGACTTCTTGGTAGATCAGCATCACCCCTGAAAGCATGGTCATGCTGTTTGTTACATAATTTTGTAAATATTATGCCCTTATTCTATTAAATGTGTTTTCCAGGTGGCGTGAATAGTTTCTTCCTATTTGTATAAACACAGAATTTATAAAAACGTCACGACAATGTTTTAGCTAAGAGAAAGCTCCTCAATTTTTATACTGACAACCGAATATAGTCCTGTCCAGTAGATGAAAAATGATGATTAGGGAGTGTTGAATGCGACACCTAAAGACTTCCATTCAGGTTGTTTGAGTATGTTGGGCAACTAGATAGCAAGTGAAGGCCAGTTTAGGTATTCATTAAAATGTCTCAACTATCATTCTCTTTAGCTGAATGAATCATAGTTCCATCTTTTCGGAGATAGTCTCACTAACAGAAGACCTGATTCTTCAATAAGTCTGAATAAATGTCTAGTGTTTTTACCACTGATAACTTTCCCATCTCTTTCAATTTCGGTGATTACAATCATTTCTTAGGCCTTTTATCAGTCTACGATTAAGTTGTCTTCTCTTCCGTCGTGTTTAGAATTAGATGGAATGAATTTGCAAGCACTTTCAAATTCGGCAAATACTACTAAAATCTGCACGTCATTTCTAACCACCTGTTTTAATTTACTGAAAGATGTTACTACTGTATCCCCAGCTGTATGCATATCATCCCAGGTCTCTTCTGGATGAACATTAACTTCATGAATAGTTAGTTAGCACCGAAATGCACTTTTAACCTTTTCATCATTGAGCTGTGCTTTGAGGAAACCTCCAATAATTCCTTTTGTCCATCCAGTAAAATTCAGGTTGGTATCCAACTAACGCACATTGAGTGTCTTGCGTATACAATTGTTTATAAATACTTGTACATTTTTGATGATGCTTGTGGTAGTTCTACAAGTTCCAGCTCCGTACAGTACAACTGTCATGACGTTCGTATTGAGGATTCTGATTTTGATATTGGTTGACAGTTGTTTTGAATTCCATATGTTCTGCAACTGTAGAAATGCTGTTCTTGCTTTGCCAATCCTTGCCTTCACGTCTGCATCGGATCCTCCTTGTTCATCAATGATGCTTCCCAGGTACGTGAAAGATTCCACATCTTCCAGAGTTTCTCCATCAAATGTGATTGGGTTGGTGTTCTCCATGTTGTATTTGAGGACCTTACTTCTTCCCTTGTGAGGAAACGCGGGGTTAAGCAACATTGCCTGACAGCGGTCTTTACTTAGTATATGTCTGTTAGCAACCAACCATCCAAGACTTTGCAGTGTAGTCCATCGCAAGAATTCCGCCTTACGATCTTGAAAATCTCAGCTACACTATAGTGTCGAAGAAGAGTCCATAAGGTTCTATTCATGCTGTCAAATAGCTTCTCATAGTTTGCTGACCCCATGCCCAGCGCACGAAACCAAGTTGGTCGCATTCAAATCTTTCCTACACCTCCTAATACCTCTCTTATTTCCATGACTAATCCTCCTCACGTTTCCTTATCACCTCGCACCGGTAGGGCAAACGATTCGAGTACGCGGAACGCTATTCCTGGTCTCTTGAAACCACACTCTAAACTACACGTAGGAGCTTTTAACGTCCGAACACTGCCAAATAGGACAACAGGCTTCCTTAGCTAGGACTTTAGAATCCCGCGCCATCGATGTGTGCCGCGTCTCCGAAACGTGCATACAGGATCCAAGTGGCGCCATTCATTTGACCTCACCATATCAAAATAAAGAACCAACTCGATTCACACTTTGTGTACCTGGAAGCCCTGATTCTGCTTCCCGTGGCCTCGCCGGTGTAGACATAGCATTGAGTCCTAGGGCAGAACTAGCTCTCTTAGAGTGGATCCCAGTAGACAGTCGTTTGTGCGCTGTCCGACTAAACAGAACAGTAAGGATCCGAAAAGATAGGGACACTCGTCGTTGCCTCTTCGTCGTCCCTGCCTATTCTCCCACTGACTACAGCGCAGATGATGTGAAAGATGAGTTTTACAAAAAGCTCTCCGACCTTCTCCGAAAACCTAGGCGCTCAGAGTTAGTATTAATGGCCAGTGACTTTAATGCTCAAGTAGGTAAACTAAGCGTAGGGAAAGACACCTGGGTGGATCTTACAGTGTCATGGCTCAAAGAACAGATAATGGTGACCGTCTATTGCAGCTATGCTCAGATAACCGCCTCTTTCTTGCAAATACTAACTTTAAGCATAAGGAAAAACATCTTTTAACATGGAGACCCCCTAATTCTTCCCAACGCTGGACCCAAATAGATCACATCGCTATCAGCCACCGATGGAGGGGATCGATAGAAGACTGTCGCTCATTCTGGAGCACGTGCTTAGATTCAGATCATGCTCTAGTACGAGCGCCTATCTGTCTGCATCTTACTGGACGTAGGAAAGACGCTGCAAGTAAACCTCTTAGGGGCCTACTTAATGATAGTCAAGCTAAGAGTATATTTCAGGAACAACTAGGAAAACAGGCAGTCATGTAGGTGATGCCCAACCCAAGGCAGCTTGGAATGATATCCGAATAGCTGTGAACACAGCAGTGATATCTGCTAATACAGTAAACTACAAGGTTAGGAAGCAACACTGGATCTCAGCAGCATCTATCGCACTGATAGACGCTCGAAAACTCATTCCATCTGGCTGTGAACATAATGAAGAGCGAAGTCAGCTCAAGCGCTAGCTGACAAGAAGTCTACGCAACGATCGTGAACAGTGGTGGGTAGCGAAAGCAAGAGAGATGGAAAAGGCAGCGGCAATAGGTAATAGCAGACAATTGTTCAGATTTGTTTAGGAAACCGACAGTTAGCGAAACACTCTCAGTGAAAGATGGACATATTATACACTCTTAATCCAGGAGATTGGATAGATGGGCAGAACACTTTATAGATCAGTTCAACTGGCCTTCAGCCACACTTCGGTTTCCGACGATCTCCAGTCAACCTTAATGGCAAGTTAATGTAGGTCTTCCGACTCTTTACGAAGTTGAAGAAGCCATAGGAAATCTGAAGCGAGGGAGAGCAGCAGGCCCTGACAGGTTTACTCCTGAGATTTCTAAGGATGGTGGTTCAGTATTAGCAGTGGGATTAACTGAGGTCTTAGGCAGTATCTGGGAACTGGACGTAATCCCATCTGACTGGTCTCAATCACTGATTGTGCCAGTGTATAAGAAAGGACAAAAGTCCTCTTGTGACAATCACAGAGGAATCAGTTTGACTAATATAGTGTCTAAAATATTAGCTTCAATAATACTTCGACGCCTAACCAATGTTCGTGAAGAACAGACTAGAGAAATTCAGGCCGATTTTCGACTTGGACGTGGTTGTATAGACCAAATATTCACACTACGTCAGGTTCTAGAACACAGACACACGTTTAGACGCCCCACAATCTTAGTATTTCTCGACCTTGAGGCAGCATTCGACTCTGTTGATCGTAAGGTTCTATGGCAGTGTTTGTCACTTTAAGGAGTATCAAAGAAGTACATTAACCTTATTCAGGCTCTCTACTCGAACACAACTGGTAGAGTGAGAGCTTATGGCGAACTGTCATCAGAATTGATTACATCAAGTGGTGTTCGTCAGGGCTGTCCACTCTCTCCATTCTTGTTCAACTTTGTGGTGGACGTACTTTTAGAGATAACACTCTCCTCATCTAAATTTCCAGGGGTTGAACTTCTACCGGGAGGTTCACTTGTTGATTTAGAATATGCCGATGACATAGTTTTATTTGGCGAAGACACCGACAAAATGCAGAGTCTTCTGAACACTCTAGGCAACAATGCAAACATGTTCGGCATGCGATTCTCTCCCTCGAAATGCAAAATGTTGCTTCAGGATTGGGTTACATCGACACCCCAACTAATGATAGGGAGTGAAGTAGTTGAGTGTGTCGACCGCTTCACTTATCTTGGAAGTCTCATCAGCCCTTGTGGTCTGGTGTGTGACGAAATCTCAGCACGGATACAGAAGGCTCGACTAGCTTTTGCCAACTTGCGTCATTTATGGCGTAGGCGAGATATCCGTCTACCAACCAAAGGGCGTGTTACTGTGCAGCAGTCCGTTCCGTCCTGCTTTATGGCAGTGAAACATGGCCGGTAAGAGTAGAGGATATTCGTAAGTTACTAGTATTTGATCATAGGTGTCTTCGAAACATTGCACGTATATCCTGGGACCATCAAGTAAGTAACACAGTTGTTAGGAAACGGGTACTAGGTAAGGATGGCAAATCAATTGATGAAGTAGTGAAAGTTGATCAGTTGAGATGGCTGGGACACGTGTTACGTATGCCCAACGACCGACTGCCTCGACGTGCGATGTTCAGTGGTATAGGAGTAGGTTGGAAGAAAGCTAGGGGCGGCCAGACCAAAACATGGCACAAGTCCATGAAGTCACTGACAAGTGGACTGAGTCATGTCGGTAGGTGTAGACTACCTGGTTGGGGACCGCGAGATGATAGCAACCGATGGTTAGAGACCTTGAATGGCATGGCTCAAAATCGTTTGCAATGGCGCAGGTGCATCCACTCTTTGTGTTCTCCCAAATTTTGATCTCCTGATTCCCCCTTGTCTCTTTTTTTTCTCTTCCCAAATTTATTTCACTGTATTATACTCTTGAAGTAACATCTCCAAACACTAATCTTTCCGATTACTGTTTATACTCTTATTACCTCTACCACTAGGGGTTTTGAATCGACCACTGCATCTCTATGCTAATGTGGTGTGGCAACTCGAACTGATGTACGTACGTACGAAGCTCTACGTTGTTACTGACTGACTGACCCCATGACCAACCATCCTCCTTTGCTGGGGTTCGAAACCGGCAGTGACCGTGGTAGAGCTATAGGTGGAGTTGTGTTTGAAAGCAGTGCTAGCGTATTAGGGGATCATTAGTTAATGATAGAAACATAGAGTACTAAGTAAATTTGAGACCAACTGAGATGATCGATATATGTGTCCAACCACAACCATCTCAATGCTGGTTGGCATAGATGTAGGTTGGAAGAAAGCCAGGGGTATTCGAACCAAGAACTTGAATCAGTGTATGCTGCTGTTGATTGTCAGTTTGAGTAATGTTGACAGATGAATATTATATTTGAGTTCCATGCCATAAAACTTAACTAAGGTTAGATATCTTAGAAGACATGGGCCAAAATCAATCATCGTGGTGCGCTCACTCTTTATTCTAGATCTTAAGCTCTATTGCTTTTCTATATCTTTTATTTTAAGCTCATTCAATTTTTCAAACCATATAGTGTACATTTGATCACCGATTTCACTATCTCCAAATATAATTTTCAATTAATTAATCTATTTGAACACATAGATATTGGAACAAAGGGGCACCGAATGCGTATGCGCCACACAAGTCACTTGATTTGTTTGTGGGCTGTGATACTGCTCGGGTACCCAGACCGGAGGAGGTAGTTGTCTTAAAGGCCCACGCCCGGATCCTTCGACCCAATAATCTGATGCACAAGGCAGTGAAGCAACGTCAGGAGATGCAGTAGTCCCATGGTAGCCGGTAACCAATAATTGGTTCATACGCCATTTGTTCCCTCAGGATCCTGGTGCCCATGAGCATGAATGGTTTGGAATCAGGGTTTTCCAACTCCCGTAGATGGATCCTCCACGTTCAACAACCCGGTTAAAGCGCTTGATATTCGCTTGTCGTCTTCTCAATTTCGTAAATAAAGCCCCCGCCGCGAGAAGGCAGTGAGTAAGACTTCCCTGGCAGTTGCTGTATGCACGTTGCCATGTGAGAACATTTGGAGAAAGAGAGTGGTCTCTCCCCACCCTCAGCCGTCCCAGGGCATTTCAGATACATTCCTAGTACTGATAGTAATGTGATGCTTCTGTATTTCTCGCTTTTGCTATGATCCTATGTTTTTGGTATCTTGATAGAATATCTTTCTTTCCAGTCTGTCGGTGGCACTTGTTCTTCACCCCAAATCTATCTGAAGAGAACGTGGAGCATGTTTTCAGTTATCTTATTATCCGACTTTAGTGCTTCATATAATGTGTTGTCTTGCCCTGCTGTCAATATCATAGTACAACTTATTAGTCTGACTTCAGAATTTCGTTGTCTCATTCTGGATTGCTATTAACATCACAATTTGCTCGAGTATGAGAAATGACGGCGGATAGTGTATAGTTTAGGGTTAATTAACAAACCATATACCAATGTTAACTGTTACATTTGTAGGTTTTCATCAATACACTTGTTTGTAAACAACTTCATGTCGTTGAGGATGTAATTCAAAGTGTAACACTAGAACGACACCCTAATAACTAATCATTAGTCCTTTTTTGGTTGTCATTTATTTCGAATGCTTACTTTTGTGTAGACCTCATTTTATATACTCATGTGGAGGATTCAAAAAATTAGTTATGAATAGTGTGTTGTGAGAATTTGTTTCATTCCCTAATTCAGTTTTCTTGTTTGCTTTAGTGGATTTTTTACTCTTTGTCTGTTGCGAGTTTGACATCTTAGACTAATGGATCTCATCCAGATAACATGCATCTATTTGTTTGTTTTTAGTTACATGGATGTTGACCATAAAACCATGCTATAATATTTTTAGAATCATCCACACTTGTATTTGTACTATATTCATCAAAAATCTTAATATTGTCTTTTGAATCCGGTTCTTTCTATCAATTTATGTATTGGAATGCATCTTTTTAAACAAGGTTAAAAGAAATTTGACTTTTTATGGTCTTTTTTATAAGTCAACTGAGTATTCTGTCACTTCGTGCTTTTTACAGATTATCCAGAAATCCTGCATTCACACTGGACCGCAACAGTCAGGAAAGGAATTTAATGTTATCCAAGAAAATTGTACAGTGCACAAAAAAGCATTTATTCGTTCAAGTTTTGTGGGTTCTTCATGCAAAATTGGTGCTGATGTACGAATCTTAAACTCCGTTCTTCTTTCAAATGTAGAGATTAGGGACAAGTAAGTAGTCACCTTTCAACTCCCCTGCTTTGTAATATATACTGATATTGAGCTTTTTAAAATTATCAGCTCATTTACATCTTTACAGGTACACATGACTTTGTATTTCTGTAAGAATGGTGCACTGGAGTTTAATACTAATTTTAGTTTACCTCTGTAATACTTTACCCGACCGTTGTTGCTACCTTGACGTGGTGGTCGGGCTTGCCTATCGTGATGAAGCAACCGAGCTATACTGGCTGGAACAACTGTTCCTCAAGGTCTTACCACGTCAGAAAGGTCGGTTGAAGAGCGGTAAGACTAAAAGCGACAAACCCAAGGTCCGAAGGCGAAGTCGTACTGCTGACTGTACAGAGGTTTGACAGCAGTAAGGTGTTTCCTTCAGACAACCAGCATGACAGCGATGCTGCCTTCCCACAAGGAGGGGTGGGGTTAGGAAAGGTCAACCCTAAAAATTCACACCTCGTCTTATCCCACGGATATCCGTCTCCGGCGGTAAGGTCTCAACAATTACGGAGCTAACACAAAAATTGCCCATAAAAAGGTCGTGTGTGACCGACCTCTAGCAGTTGTCCCTTGGGCACTGCGGTCACGCTCCCAGGTCACTAAGACCACCTCTAATCCAATTTCCTTCACAGGTACTTCCACGGTTTGGCAACCGGGAAGTGATAACCGCTCTCATACCTCTAACAGCACTCAGGGGTGTGGCCCCCTAAGATAACCACCTGCTTCGGTTTGGGCACCCGGACAGTATCACAGCCCACACACGAATGATGAGTGTGGCGCATATATATTGGCGCTCTCTTGTACCAATATTTATGTGTTCAAATAAAAATAAAACTCAAGACCACTGGATTCATGATCAACATCCCTCTTCAGTCAGTCAGTTAGTAACAACGTAGAGCTTCGTACGTACGTACATCAGTTCGAGTTGCCACACCACATTAGCATAGAGATGCAGTGATCGATTCAAAACCCGTAGTGGTAGAGGTAATAAGAGTATAAACAGTAATCGGAAAGATTAGTGTTTGGAGATGTTACTTCAAGAGTATAATACAGTGAAATAAATTTGGGAAGAGAAAAAAAAGAGACAAGGGGGAATCAGGAGATCAAAATTTGGGAGAACACAAAGAGTGGATGCACCTGCGCCATTGCAAACGATTTTGAGCCATGCCATTCAAGGTCTCTAACCATCGGTTGCTATCATCTCGCGGTCCCCAACCAGGTAGTCTACACCTACCGACATGACTCAGTCCACTTGTCAGTGACTTCATGGACTTGTGCCATGTTTTGGTCTGGCCGCCCCTAGCTTTCTTCCAACCTACTCCTATACCACTGAACATCGCACGTCGAGGCAGTCGGTCGTTGGGCATACGTAACACGTGTCCCAGCCATCTCAACTGATCAACTTTCACTACTTCATCAATTGATTTGCCATCCTTACCTAGTACCCGTTTCCTAACAACTGTGTTACTTACTTGATGGTCCCAGGATATACGTGCAATGTTTCGAAGACACCTATGATCAAATACTAGTAACTTACGAATATCCTCTACTCTTACCGGCCATGTTTCACTGCCATAAAGCAGGACGGAACGGACTGCTGCACAGTAACACGCCCTTTGGTTGGTAGACGGATATCTCGCCTACGCCATAAATGACGCAAGTTGGCAAAAGCTAGTCGAGCCTTCTGTATCCGTGCTGAGATTTCGTCACACACCAGACCACAAGGGCTGATGAGACTTCCAAGATAAGTGAAGCGGTCGACACACTCAACTACTTCACTCCCTATCATTAGTTGGGGTGTCGATGTAACCCAATCCTGAAGCAACATTTTGCATTTCGAGGGAGAGAATCGCATGCCGAACATGTTTGCATTGTTGCCTAGAGTGTTCAGAAGACTCTGCATTTTGTCGGTGTCTTCGCCAAATAAAACTATGTCATCGGCATATTCTAAATCAACAAGTGAACCTCCCGGTAGAAGTTCAACCCCTGGAAATTTAGATGAGGAGAGTGTTATCTCTAAAAGTACGTCCACCACAAAGTTGAACAAGAATGGAGAGAGTGGACAGCCCTGACGAACACCACTTGATGTAATCAATTCTGATGACAGTTCGCCATAAGCTCTCACTCTACCAGTTGTGTTCGAGTAGAGAGCCTGAATAAGGTTAATGTACTTCTTTGATACTCCTTAAAGTGACAAACACTGCCATAGAACCTTACGATCAACAGAGTCGAATGCTGCCTCAAGGTCGAGAAATACTAAGATTGTGGGGCGTCTAAACGTGTGTCTGTGTTCTAGAACCTGACGTAGTGTGAATATTTGGTCTATACAACCACGTCCAAGTCGAAAATCGGCCTGAATTTCTCTAGTCTGTTCTTCACGAACATTGGTTAGGCGTCGAAGTATTATTGAAGCTAATATTTTAGACACTATATTAGTCAAACTGATTCCTCTGTGATTGTCACAAGAGGACTTTTGTCCTTTCTTATACACTGGCACAATCAGTGATTGAGACCAGTCAGATGGGATTACGTCCAGTTCCCAAATTCTACCTAAGACCTCGGTTAATCTCATTGCTAATACTTGACCACCATCCTTAAAAATCTCAGGAGTAAACCTGTCAGGGCCTGCTGCTCTCCCTCGCTCCAGATTTCCTATGGCTTTTTCAACCTCCCTCTTCAATTCCTATTATTCCTACTACATCAACTTCAAACTCTAAACTTCTTTTTTCGGCTTCCTCCTCAAGTGTCACCATAACCAATGATTCTAGTGCTCAAGACACTGTCCCAGGTCTACTGAGACCTCGCTCCAAACTACACATTGGAGCCTTCAATGTACGCACCCTATGTCAAACCGGTCAGCAGGCTTCCTTGGCTAAAACCCTAGAATCTCGTACTATTGATGTATGCTGTGTCTCTGAAACACGCTTACTGGATCCCAGTGTGGTCATTTACTTGTCTTCACCTCGGCAAAATGGAGAGCCAACGAGATACACCCTCCGTGTATCTGGTGACCCGACGGCCAGCTCTCGTGGACTGGCAGGAGTAGGGATAGCACTAAACATGAGGGCGGAACAAGCACTGTTAGAGTGAATCTCCGTTAACAGTCGTTTATGTGCTGTTCGGCTAAACGGCTCCGTAAGAACTCGGAAGTATAGGGATACACGTTGCCTTTTCGTTGTTTCTGCCTACGCTCCCACCGACTGCAGCTCAGATGAAATGAAAGATGAATTTTACAGAAATCTCTCTGAACTTCAGAAAGCTGAACGTTCAGACATAGTACTCGTAGCAGATGACTTTAATGCCCAGATAGGCAGTCTAAACCAAACAGAAAGACATTTAGGTGGGTATTTTAGTATACCGGCACAACGAAGAGATAATGGTGATCGTCTGCTGCAACTATGCTCAGACAATCGTTTATTTTTAGCAAACACAAATTTTAAGCATAAGGAAAGACATCGTCTAACATGGCGACCCACTACACCAAACCAACGATGGACTCAAATAGACCATATTGCCATCAATCATTGTTGGAGAGGGTCGGTAGAAGATTGTCGCTCATTCTGGAGTAACTGCTTGGACTCCGACCATGCCCTAATACGGGCACGCATCTGCTTGCGCCTCTTACTTAACAAAAATCGAGATAATGGACAGCTTTTCCGGATACCACTTGAAGGTGCAAAATCAGATAACAGTTCGCCATAATCTCTGACTAGACTGGTGGTGTTTGAGTGAAGAGCCCCCACTAGGTTTATGTACTCCTGAGGTACACCTTCAATGACAGACACTGTCATAGAACCTCTCGGTCTACAGAGTCAAATGCTGCTTTTAAGTCAAGAAAAACTATCATTGTCGGACGCCGATAAGCATTCCTGTGTTCTAAAACCTTACTTACTTACGCCTGTTACTCCCGATGGAGCATAGGCCGCCGACCAGCATTCTCCAACCCACTCTCTCCTGGGCCTCCTTGTCTAATTCCATCCAATTCTTGTTCATCTTTTTCATGTCTATTTCTCGGCGTAATGTGTTCTTTGGTCTTCCTTTTTTCCTTTGGCCTTGAGGATTCCATACGAGGGCTTGTCTTGTGACACAGTTGGGTGCTTTCCTCAATGTGTGTCCCATCCACTTCCAGCGCTTCTTTCTGATTTCTTCCTCCGCTGGGATCTGGTTTGTTCTCTCCCACAGTACGTTGTTGCTAATAGTGTCAGGCCAACGGATCTGAAGTATTTTGCGTAGACAACTGTTAATAAACACCTGTATCTTCTGGATGATGGCTTTCGTAGTTCTCCAGGTTTCTGCCCCATACAGTAGAACTGTCTTGACATTTGTATTGAAAATCCTGACCTTGGTGTTGGTTGACAGTTGCTTTGAGTTCCAGATGTTCCTCAGTTGTAAATATGCTGCTCTTGCTTTGCCGATCTGCGCCTTCACATCTGCATCAGATCCACCCTGTTCATCAATGATGCTGCCCAAATATGTAAAGGTTTTTACATCTTCCAAATCTTCTCCGTCAATTGTGATTGGATTGGTGCATGCTGTGTTGTATCGGAGAACCTTGCTCTTCCCTTTGTGTATATTGAGACCTACTGCTGCTGAGGCTGCTGCTACACTGTTCGTCTTCTCCTGCATTTGTTGTTGCGTTTGGGATAGAAGGGCCAGATCATCTGCGAAGTCTAGATCGTCCAACTGCATCCTAGATGTCCATTGTATCCCGTGCTTCCCTTCAGATGTTGACGTCTTCATGATCCAGTCGATCACCAGGAGAAAGAGAAAGGGTGAGAGTAAGCAACCTTGCCTAACACCGGTCTTCACTTCGAACGACTTTGTCAACTGTCCTCCATGCACGATTTTGCAGTGTAATCCATCATATGAACACTGTATGATATTGACTATCTTTTGAGGCACGCCGTAGTGTCGAAGAAGCTTCCATGGTGTTGTCCTGTCCACGCTATCAAATGCCTTTTTGTAGTCAATGAAGTTGATGTAGAGTGATGAAT